AGTTCTGACTTCGTCCTCTGAAAAGCCTGCTGTTTTGGAAATGCACAGTTGACATGTTTAAATAAAAATAAATACAATTTATAAAAAGAAAATAGTATGCTTTCATTTTGCCTGTAGAAGAAATGAAATGAATGTTGTGTATAATTCATATATATACACATATACTAACTCACATTAATGATACACATACACATGCAAACACATATCTATACACAAACATAAGTTACAACTATTGCTCCAAAATAGAGAAGCCTTTATAAAGCGAAAATCATCAAAATGTGAAGCTATGGTTTCCTGGCAGATCACCCATCTAGCACTATGAACTTCGGAAAGCTATGTTCCCATGTCTTTAATCCTCCCTGAAGAATGCTGTTCACATCGATTTACGTGCCGTGAAAGCAATGGTTTTGGCTTTCTTGAGGGACTCAAACTGTAATCCTTTTCCATGTTCTTTGAATTCTGGGAGCAAGAGGAAGGTCTGTAGGAGGAAGGTCAGGGCTGTAGGGTGGTATATGGAAAAGGTTCTGATGAAATTCTAATAGGGTAGCCCATGCTACCATCAAAGAATGAACAGCTTCATTGTCATGAATGGGAAAAAAAAATCCCTCCATGCAACGTTCCTGGTATTTTTCTCACCGATGTGGTTTGTCTCTTTTTAAAAAAACATCTTCAGAACAAGCCCACAAAATTGTCCTGAGTCCTTTAAGAATATCTATGAAGATTACCCTTTGGGGGAAATGTGGACCTTTTTGTTTTTTGAAATCCAGTAAGAAAAATAGAGACAGGTGTGGAACTGTGAGGACTTGTCTGTAGCCACCCCTGGTCACAGCGACATGTTTCAACGTGTGTAGTTGGGAATGCGTGCATGAGCTGGAACCTGGTAGCAGTACCTTATGATCGTCCTCACATGCACCTAAAAAAGTATTTCATTCATTTCACAATTAAGTTCATGGGACAAGCAATGTGAGGGGCCTTAAAAGAGTTGGTGGGCAAATGACATGCGCAGTTCCATGGGCCCGGCTGCAAGCACCGCGGCCTCCCACTGCCTTCCTCACGTGGTTCCAATCACCGCTGGAAGCGCCCTTGTAGTTCTGGATCGTGCACGAAGGCAAACATTTGATGTTTTAGTCATGGCATGTTCCTACCAAGTCCCCTACACGCAATTTTACTGAATCATGAAAGACGAGCTGTCGCAAGAAGTAACTCTGCTTGTCACCTCCGCAGGCAAAAGGCGCAGTCGCAAACCTCTCCAGTTGGTGATTGGCACGCTGACGCCAAGTTCAGTCTTTCTGTCCTGGGGCTTCCTCATCAACCCGCACTATGACTGGACTCTGCCAAGCCATTGTCCCGATGACAGGTAAGTCACCGTCACGGAGGGTTGTGCTTTTCACGTGAAAGTTAGCGGTTGCTTCTAATGGCAGCCAGGCATGTGTAGAAGCCTTTAGGACTCTCAGGACTATCAGAATTTACTGGTCAGCTACTGGCTGTACAAACTGTTTGAGAGGTGAGAAGCAGAAAGAGATATAAATCATGGCTCCTACTTTTTTTGTCTTTTAAAAAATTATTTTATTGGGGACTCATACAACTCTTATCACAATTCGTCCATCCATCCATTGTGTCAAGCACCTTGGTACATATGTTGCCATCATTATTTTCAAAACATTTTCTTTCTACTTAAGCTCTTGGTATCAGCTTCTCGTTTTTTTCTCCTTCCTTTCCACCCTCCCTTCCTCATGAACCCTTGATAATTTATAAATTATTATTTTTTCATGTCTTACACTGACCGATGTCTCCTTCCACCCAATTTTCTGTTGTCTGCCCCCTAGGGAGAGGGTTATATGTAGGTTGTTGTGATCGGTTCCCCTTCCCCTCCTGGTATCACTTCTCTCATTATTGGTCCTGAGGGCTTTATCTGACCTGGATTCCCTGTGTTTCCAGTTCTTATCTGTACCAGTGTGCATACTCTGGACTAGTTGGATTTGGAAGGTAGAATGGGGTTACGATAGTTGGGTGGGGGGAGGAAGCATTAAAGAACTAGAGGAAAGTTGTATGTTTCATCAGTGCTATACTGACTGTCTCATCTCTTCCTTGTGACCCTTCTGTAAGGGGATGTCCAGTTATCTATAGATGGGCTTTGGGTCTCCTCCACTCTGCACTCTCCCTCATTCACAATGATATGATGCCTGATACCTGATCCCATCAACACCTCGTGATCACACAGGCTGGTGTATGTCTTCCATGTGAACTTTGTTGCTTCTCAGCCAGATGCCTACTTGTTTATCTTCAAGACTTTAAGACCCTTTTGGTAGCTTGGCACCCTCAGCTTTCTTCACCACATTAGCTAGATACCCATTTTGTTTTCAGTGATTGTGTTGGGTTGATGAGCATCACAAAATGCCAGCTTATTAGACCAAAGTGTTCTTGCATTGAGGAAGTACTTGAATAGAGACCCAATGTCTGTCTGCTACCTTCATACTTAACATGTAAATATATGTACATAGATCTATTTCCCAATCATTATATATATATAAATATATTTACCTATGTACATGCCTAAATTTAGACCTCTGTAAATGCCCTTTGCCTCTTAGTTCTTTCCTCTATTTCCTTTTATTTTTCTCTCGCCCCACTATCATGTTTGGCCTGCATTTGGGTTTCAGTATTTCTTCTCAGTTACATTGCCCTTGATCAAGCCCTACCAGGCCTCCTACACCCTCTTTGCCATTGATTTTAGATCACTTGTTTCCTTATCCCTGGGTTTGTTAACACCCACTTCCCTTCCCCCACCTCCCTCTCTCCGGTGTCTCCCATGGAACAGTTGGTCCTATTGTTTTCTCCTCTAGATTTATCCCACTTATCTTATCTAGATAGACCTGCAGATATAATAATATGCATAAAAACAAGACAGCAAAACAAAGCAACAAAAGAAAAAACAAGACAAAAAACATAAGGACAAATAAAGAAAAGCGAATAAATAGTTCCAGGTCTGTTTGTTGACCTTTAGGAGTGTTTTCTGGTCGTGACTGATGGGGTGCCATGCCCTGGCTACAAAGTCTAATTTTAGTATTCCCCAGGGACTTCATTGCTTTGTTCCCCTTGCTGCTCTGTTGCACGCCCTTATAGTTTCACCCCTGTGTGGTGGGGTCAGTGTGGGCACAATTCCCGCACTGTGTCTCCAGTGTTGTCCCCCATAGTGCTATGGGTCAGTGAGGGATGCCGTGTCTAGTGGTGGAGCCGGACCTGTGCTCCTCTCTGCAGTGGTTACTCAGCTCAGGAATATTGTCCTCGGGGCTCAGTGGCCATGGCTCCTACTTTCAAGAGCATTATCATCTACCTGAAAAAAAAGCATAGCAAATTTGTAAAATGTGTTTTTGTTTCCAAAAGATTAAACTACAAGGGAAAATAACCAAATAACAAATGGGGAAAAGCAACAATAAATGTAGTAACAGCTAAGGAAAAGGCTGAAGGCAGTTAAGGAACATTATGCGGGGTGGAGGCGGTGAGAATCATCATTGATTAGAAAAGGATAGGACTTTGATTTGCAATTTGAAGAGGAGTAGGGCGCAATGAATGGTTCTCAACGCGGGGTTCCAAACCAGTCAGCACTACCATCACCAGCTGGGAATGTGACGTCTCAAAAAAGGAAATGCTCAGGCTCTGTGCTCGGTCTGCTGAACCAGGACCTGGAGGGAGACCCTGTGATCTGCGTGTGAAGGGTCCTGCAGGTGATCGAGGTGCCACTGAAGCTGAGAATCACTGACTTCGACAACTGAAGACATTCAGGAAAAGATGTAGGTAAAGGAAAAGCACAGAGTCGGGACTGAAGTGATGAATTGACGTCTTCTTTGGTAGTATAAAATAAGAACAATCTAAACTGTTGAAAGTATTTTCATGCATCCATTAATCCATCCAACTCATGCATTTGGCTAGGCAGTAAGCTAAGTTGTACACCGTTATTCTAAACCTGTTATAAAACAGTATCTGCTGACATAAATATTTGCAATATTACTGTGTTAGTCTGGTTAAACTAGGGAAACAAATCCACAGAAACTCATATGTATGAGAGAGTTTTATATAAAGGGTAAGTGTACATGAAGAAAGCATCCCAACCCAGTGCTATCCAAGCCCATAAGTCCAACATTAGCCCATATTTCCAACATCAATCCACAAAGTTCTCCTCCATCCTGCAAAACACACGCAATGATGCCGACTGCAGGAGGAAAGCTGAGTCAGTGAGTGTGTAAGCATCTCAGCGCTGGCAGGGGTCTCCACGCGGCTGCTCCAGCACCCAGGGCTGCATCAGGATAGATCCATGTGTCTTCTCCTCAGGGATGTCTTGCAGGAAGTCAGCCTTGCCCGCTGAAGCAGGGAACTGCTAAGGCAGGTGCAACCTGGTCCAACCATCACAAAGCAAGAGACCTGAGGATCACTGAGCCCTTTATCCCTCCGATCTAAGATTGATCCCATATGTGTTTATTGGCCAGGTTGGGACAATAAACCTTAATTAACTCAATTACTTTGAAAACTTTGTTTTCTCTTTTTATCATGCTAATGGGGCAGGCAGAGTTCAGAGAAGTTCAGAGTTAGAGGCAAGGTGCTGTCTGGAGAGCCAGGAGTGGAAGGAGAAGGGACTGAGAGCTAGCAGGTGTTAGGATTGTTTAAAAGCAACAACAAAAAAAAAGAGTTCTTCCCTAAAATTAAACTAAGAGGTCAAACAACCTTCTTAGAGGATCACCCAATTCTAACAGCAGTGAAAGGGTAAACAACGAAACGAGCTACACATGGAGACCAGTGCAGTGTGAAGAGACAAATCACAGCAACAGAATTGGGAAGGCTGAAAGCCGCTGTAAACAACTAAGCGGGTATATCACAAACTCTGACTTTAGGAACCTTACGAAGAGTCCCCCGAGGGGTGCACCGTTCCTGGAAGTACTGCAATACCAGGTCGATGCGCGGAGTGGACGGAGCAAGCTCCTATTCCATCTCCCTGCTCCAAAAATCCATTTAATATATTGTCCTCGGATAGAGGACGTATCAGATATTAAACTGATAAGAACAGATACTACACTTGATCGTAGCCAAAAGGCCGAGAAGCGATGAAAAATTTTAAAAATAGTATTTGGACATTCAGAATTTTCCATTTTCCTCTGAGACATTGTTTATAGAAACATTTTTATCATAAATATACTCGAAGTGATATTTAATTTTTTAGTTCTAATTTTTAATAAGAACTTTTCTTGAAGCACAATTTATACTTGGTAAAATGCACAGGTCCTAAAAATACAGTTTGATTAGTTATGACAAATGCATGTAACTTGGTAACCTACGTCATCAAGAAATACATTTTCATCACCCTCCAGGAAAAAACGAAACAGAACACCACTTTGATTTCAGTACAGAATAGTTTGCCTGTTCTCAAATTTCATTCTTCTTCTGCCAAGTCTGTGCTTGTGCAATGCTCATGACCTCTCAGGAATCAGGAGCTCCTTCCTTTTGTTCCTGAGTAGTACTCCGTTAGGCCAATTCCAGAGTTCCTTCTTCTGTGGATGAACACACTAAGCTATGTTCTGTTTTAAGTAAGTGGTTAATGATTATGGATGGTACACACCTTATGGTATAAGAACTGTTGTGGGCATATATTTTAATTTCTCTTGAGTACCTAGGAATGGAATTTGCTGGAGCTGGCTTTTGTTGGTTCGTTTATTCTTTTTAAACAGTTTTATTGGAGCATAATCCACATATCATGATTCAAAAGTTCAAGTATATTTAAGAGAGATGTACAACTTCCACCCCAATCAATTCTAGAACACTATTCTTTCCTGTACTCGTTGTGATTAGTTCCCCGTTTCCTTCCCAGCCTCTCTTACCACGCCCCCAAGAAACCCGTGGTCCAGTGACTGTGGCTCTAGGTTTACTTATCCTGGATTTCATATGTAGAAAACATGCCAGAATAAAAGAGAACACCCTCACTAGAAAAGAAAGTAGAAAATATGAAAAAATAGGACAACTTTAAAATGGGCTAAACAGGAGCTCAACTGATAAGGTGATACACTTTAACCTAACTGCACTTGTAAGAATCTACTTTTCTTTATTTCTTTTTAAAAAAATCATTTTATTGGGGGCTCGTACAACTCTTATCATAGTCCATACATGCATCCATTGTGTCAAGCACATTTGTACATCTGTTGCCATCATCATTCTCAAAACATTTGCTTTCTACTTGAGTCCTTGGTATCAGCTCCTCATTTTTCCCCTTCCTTCCCACTCTCCCTCCCCAATGAACCCTTCATCATTTATAAATTATCATTTTGTCATACCTTACACATACCTTTTGTCATACCTTACACAACCTTTTGT